CTCCAGAAACGAATGCTCGCGACACATGCGAAGCCATTCATGATATCGATCGGGGGGTTTCACTCTGACGTTGTTGGTGAGTCTCTCCAGGACGCGATAGGCATCGTACATCGTCGTCTTCGCTTGGAGAGTCTCCTCGCGGAATTGGTCGAGCAGGTCGATGGTGGTGCAGGTTCGAGGTTTCTCGTGTGTTGCCGGGAACCACCTTGCGCGCAGAAGCTGGACTTCGGGAGGACCAGCCTGGACGGCGCTTCGACATCCGGCGCCACAGAAATCCACTCGGACGTCGTGAATTCCGTTCGTGTGCAAGACGACGAATTCCTTGTGACCGCGCTCGGGCGCCTCGCATGGGTCCCCGACTTGGTGCCCCAATTGGACCCGAAGCCCAAGGCTCGCTAAGGAAATCTTGGTAAAAAAACCCGAATCCATCCAGCGCTGATAAAACGACGTGTCAGCGGCCGGCGCGATGTGCACGAGAGATACGAATACTTACATACACGCGATGCAACGGATTTTCGGCGTGTCGCGACACACAGCAAGATTCGCAATGCAGCGCGCCTCCCAAGCAGTCCCGACATCGGATTTTAGGGCCAGCGCTGCCGCATCCAGGGCACGAGTCGATGTTGGCACCTCCCCGGCCGTGAAGACGGATGTACTCGCTCGCGAACATGTCCACTTTCGCTCGCCAGTCGCTCAGTGATTTATCCTACGGCGCTATTGAGTACGGGTTAAATCTGGGGAAGGAAGACAAGCTGACCGAGGGTACGACGGGTTTGACGGGTTTAGGATCTGAATGTGAGATGTTGGGCCCACCGCCGTCGTCCAGAGAGTCGCCCAAGTCAAGAGAATAACGGTCGAATGTGAATGTTTCCTCCAAGGCGGCGAGCCGAGTCTGTGAGTCAAGCAACGCCTGACGCGCTGCATTCTGGCGTTTTACAGGGCTTGGTGGCTCGATTGCGATTTCCGCGCGATATACGCGTCTGTTGTCCTGGCTGACGCGGTCGACGAATGTGGGGATGGGCGCGTTGATAGCTGATTGCGCCGAGTCGATCAGTCTCCTGTTGTTTGCCGGCTCATTGAATTTGGCGCGTTGGCGTGAGCGGAAAGACATGCCCTGCCGTCGTTCTACGACTTGCAGAGACGTCGTCCAGCGGCGGACTGAGCGGGGTTGAAGCGAGGCAAACGAAACAGTGTTTGGTCACGTTTGTCTATGTCCTCCCGCCCTCGCCAATCCAGACCAAAGCCGACACGTCGCCGCAGCAATCCCTACTCTTCGTCATGTCGACTCACACAGGCATGCTCTATCCGTCTCGCCCTCCGAGCGCCGACAACGACGGCGCCTTCGCTTGCGCTCTCCCCGTCTACACTCACCCGGCCTTCAAAACCGTCGACCTCCACAAAGCCGACGGACGTTCTCATTGGATTTTTCTGAGGCACCCAACCCAATCCGCTGCATTTACTGACCTGTGCGTCCGCCCCTTGACCTCTTTGGTCCACTTTACTAACTGTCTTGCAGAAGCTCTCTGAAAATCTACCTTGCCGACCTCAACGACCCCAATTTTAAAATCGAGGACCACCATAACGCCGAGAAGATTTCCAAACACAAAAAGGTTCTCGACCTCGCGCATGCCCACTATAAGTTCTGCGTTACCCACCATCGTCACCCCGTGACCCCCGTCCAGGAGTGGAACTCGATCCAAACGGTGCCGGAGCGCGCCCTCCACCGTCTTGTCTTCCACGACCCTTCCCGCCTGGATCAACGCTTACACCTGGCCCGCGAGCATTACCGGATGAGCAAACTCTTCCCAAGCGACTACTATACGGAAGAGGACCCCGAGCCTTCCGCGTCCGCCGCGTCGTCCACCGTGTGGTCATCTGCCGCGCCGGTCACGCCCTCGCCTGCTTGCGCGTCGGCTGAAGCGCAAGTAGGCCCGTGGTTCCTGCTTTCCGATGGGCAGGTCATCCTTGACCCGTAAGCCCCTTCCCCCTTTTTTTTTTTTACCTTGTGTGCTAATTCAATACCAGAAATGACGCCGCGACAGCAGCGCGGAACACTTCCGACGGCACCACGCTAACGATGCGCCTCGTGGACACCCTCGCTGACGCTCAGGACTTGCGCAAGGAGCAGGCGGCCGAAGCTCAGCAGTTGCGCAAGGCGCAGGCGGCAGGGAAGGCGGCGGGGGGCGGGTGATCGCGTCGCTTTTTTTCGTTTCTGGGTCTTCGCATTTGCTATTGTCTCTCACTTTGCTACCGCTACCGCCTCACTATCCGCGAACGACGCGAGAAGCCATAATGTATAACAACTTGTATATACCTACCTAGTCCTAGTCCGTCACAACGCAATACTGAATAAATGCTGTACATGCTTCACAGTGTGATCTTGCCAACAGCCCGGAGAAGAAGAAAAGGTAGCTAAGAAAAAAAAAAATAGAAGGAAATGGGAAGGGCAACGTCAAACAAAAAAAAAGGTTCCGAAAGATCGAAATTTATCATGCCCACCGACGGAATCGAACCGCCCCTCTTTGATTACGCACCTAGCCCACGACTGTAATCAAAGCGTACTACCGCTGCACCATATGAGCACCGAGGGTTGTAGAGATTTGATACCCCACGTACGGATGTACGATGTCATCATCTCATTTTCTGCATTTCAATTTCTGCGCTGCACAATCATCAATATTAATTACACAAGCCGGGCGTCGTTATTCAAGAGCCAAGAAATCACTGTTAAGTAGCTGTGTCTACTTCATCTCGATGCCTTCCATTCCTTTCTCTTCTTCGATTCGTTCTTGTGAAGACGCATGCACATCGGGTTGTTGCAGCCACACATCCCCGGCGGGAGATCGGCGTCGGAGTCGTCCCCGTTGTCGTCCTCCAGGCCGCACCGACGGAGCGCGCGACAGCGTTTCTGGTTCGCCGTGACGACCGCATTGGGGTCGTACGGGAGGGCTCGACCGGGCCACGCAAATCGCGGCGCGGCTGTTTTGTTGGTTGAGGGGTTGGAGGGCGAACGCGCACGTTTCCCAGGGCGAGGTGAGCGCGGCGCTGGCGCTTTGTCGTGGAGGAAGCTGGGGTCGGTGAATGGGATGAGATGCCCCGCATTCGCAGGCGCGGAAATCTGCGGCGCTGAAGGCGCACGTTTCCGAGGGCGAGGTGGGCGCGGCGCTGGCACTTTGTTGTGGAGGAAGCTTGGGTCGGTGAACGGGATGAGATACCCTGCATTCGCAGGCGCGGCGCGAGGCGGCAGAGAATCAACGAGCTTGCTGGCGGGGCGCGCCGCAGCGCTTTTGGTCTCGCTTGTGCGCTTCGCACTTTTGGCGGTGGTCGTTTTCTTGGCCTTCTTGAGACCGGCGGCGCTCTTCTTCTTCGCATCCTTGGGACTGGGCGGGAGCACGGCTTTGGCGGAGGTCTTCTTGCGACGAGCGGCGCTCTTCTTCTTCGCATCCTTGGGACTGGTCGGGGAGCACGGCACGGATCAGCAAAAGGGCGGAAGCGGGCGAGCGGGACCTACTTCAAGCTTCGGGCAGCGTCTGCGGCCCGGATCTCATCCCGATGGCTGAATGACAGGAACAGTGAGGCTGGGCTAACGACGATGCCTGCGAGACACACCTCTCGCGGTACTTCGCAGCCCATGCGCGTGCCCTGGCGCGCGACTCCAAAAGGCTCTCCTCCGAACCTTTCTCTTGCGCGCGAACCCTGCCGGCCGTCATATCGAGTTGCCTAGAGAAGGGAGAGGGTTTCATACCGTTGCATTCTCGCGCGAGCGGCTTCGCGCAAAGTTTCGCGGTTCCTGGGGAAGGCAATCGTCAGGGTGAATCTTTGGTGAGCAACGGCAGATACATACTTCTGAGCATATCGTTGGAGGGTGGAACGTCTGTTCGCGGCCTTGGTTTCAGCGTCGACGGGGGTACGGCCCATTTGTGGAAGAGTGGACGAAAGCAAGAAGGGAGGCAATCAGTTCGCGATCGCGCCCGCTGAATTTCGCCTTCTCTGGGCCCCGACGACGCTCCGAACGCCAAAAGACAGTCGTAGAGACGGTGGGTGTTCGCCAGGAGCGTGGGCAGGTTTGAGGCGCAGAGAGTGGGCCGTTGGATGGGGGATGCACCAGGAAGAAGAGAGGCAATCAATCAGTTCGCGATCGCGCCTGCTGAATTTTGCTTTCTCTGGGCCCCAACGACGTTCCGAACGCCAAAAGACAGTCGTAGAGACGGTGGGTGTTCTCCAGGAGCGTGGGCAGGTTTGAGGAAGAGAGAGTAGGTCGTTGGATGAGGGATGCACCAAAAGGTGCCAGTAGGCGGAAGCAAAGCCCAGTGCGGATTCTGATTGCGTTCGGGTGAAATCTTGCACGTCAAGAAGTTCGCGACTTTTATCCTCAAATCCTTCTACCCTCGCGTCCCCCTGCTTCCTAAAATTGCAAAATATTGTGAGGCCAATGGGACGACGTGCAGAGTTATTCCCAAAAAAAAAACCGGCCACGGCGGGCCAGTCACCGAAGTGGTGCAAAAAGGCTTGTCACCTGTGAGTTCGCGATACATATGCGTCACCGGTGAGTTCGCGATTCATATCGGTCGAGCGCTTTCTCTCAACACCCGCGTAGTTCACAACGAACCCAGCCCAGATGCAGGTAGTACAGAAGCAGTTCACGCCCAATTCATTCAAGAAAAACACTGGATTGACTGAATATACGCAGATGCCTCGTCGGTATGGAATGCGTCGTCTCTATGAACTACACGACGTCAAGCCTACTCCGCGCTACTATGGGCTGATTTTCTGCTGGACTTCGCGACTTGGCGTGCGGTTTTGCCTGACTGAAGACTCTGGCGGCCCTTGCCCTTGCCCTTCTGGGATGGTTTCGTTAGCGATGAAAACCACGAGCCAAGACGCGACGACGAACCCCAGTCAACTGTTCCAGCAGGATCGCTTCAGGATCGCGTCTTTTTGCTGCGACGCGCGCCATAATAGCTCGTGCATGTTTCGACGGACCCGGCCCGCCCGCGAGAGGAGTGTGCGGCGAGCAACCACTCGAGCCCATGATGACCATCGGCCTCGGACACGCGACACGTTCTTCGGTGGAAGCTTGCGCGCGCAGGGTGCCGTCGTTCTGCACTACGCTGATGATGGGGGCGCTGCGACCGGGGACGAAGGTGATGAGCGGACTCTGCTGCTGCCCAGGTGCGAGTTCGAGACGCGGCCGCTTCGCCGCCTCTTCGCGTTCTTTCCATCGCTTCTTTCGCTCATGAAACTCTTTCCACCAGGAGGCGCTGCGTATGATCTCGAAGTCGTGAGTCGGCGCAGGCATCGTACCGCGTGCTGAGGAGTTCACTGACGACGTGCTAAGGGGTTCTCCACAAGGGCAGAAATGGTCGTTGGGCCGCCGTCAACGGACGGCTACGTTTAACGTGCGGAAGGTGTCGCGGGTGTTATGTATGGATTCTTCTATTGAATTGATAATTGACTTCATGTTCGTGGACGCGGAATATCAAGAAAGCATCGTATATTCAGATTAAGGTACTTGGACGGGGGAATGTAGAGACTGAGGCTACGGGAATGAGGGATACATATCAAGAAAGCACAAGGGGCGGCTACTCGGACGAGGGAATGTAGAGACGACGGAGCTGCTGATGTGGTCCTAAGAAATGTGGTCAGAGATGCCATGGAATGGAGGAGAGAGACGTACATTGGTCGAGGTCGCCGCGTTCAGGCGGCTGCGCGAGCGCGGAGGACGCGCTTGTGCTGAAACCAGGCCTTGATTTTCTATGGGGATGTAAGCGAGGTTAAGATGCGACGAGGAAATAAACACGGACAGCCTGGGTGTTGAGGCGGACAACGGTGCGCTCGTCCACTTCATCGCGGGTGAAGGGGATAGCATCGAGGGTCATCATGGGATGCGGGTCGACGTGGATGGGCAGCCGCCATGGGAAAACACTCCAGTAGGTCGAAAAGGTGGTGGCCCAAAAGCTACTGAGCTCGCCCTGCGCAACCGCCCAGTAGAAGTCATCGAGCAGACCGCGGAGGAACATAAGGCGCTCGGGGGAAAAGTTGCGCCGCTTGGGCATGGTCTTGACTGCGAAGAAGTGCTGAGTGAGGATGGTCTGGCCCTGGTGTGTGGTGGACGACAGGGGGGGCAACCGGTGAGTGAGGATGGTCTGGTCCGAGCGTGTGGACGGCGACACGCGGGACAACGCGGAGGTCAACGTGGAGGATGAGTCCGACATAGGTGAAGTGAGTGGTGGTTGGGCGATTTTTGTTTGCGAAGGGGGTGGGCGGCACTTTTATTCGACATATGGGAAAACACGATGTACGGCATTAATTTTCCAACGGAACGGGGGGTGGCGGTTGAGTAACCCAAAAAAAACGCGGATAGGCGGAGGTTTGGCGGAGGTTTGACACCAAATTTAATCAAGAAGGTCGGAAACCTGCGGATAATTCAGGGCACGTCGACGGCAGAAGAAGAAGAAAAACGCACGCGATTTGTCGCCTTGCGCTTCAAGCGCACAGGCCAAGATTCGCAACGCGTTGAGGCGGCGCTGGCAGTTGCGGAGGGCGTCGGCGTCGTCGAAATACCACGACTGCTTGATAACCTCTACGCTAACTTGATGCACTGCAGCCCAGATCTCAACGGCTGGTCGCGGCGCCCATGTCGGATCGATGCCGCCCACGGTGTGGCCGAAGATGACGTATGTGCGGAAGTGATTAGTCTGGTCGAGAGCGGCGGCGAAGCGTGGCTGGATTTCCAGTTGATTGGGCCTGCAGGTATTCGGGTGAGAGGAAAAGTCTGAGAGAAAGAATGCCGCCTACATGTTGGAGCGCAAGGAGGTTTGAGCCGTGCGGAGGCAAGGGCATGTAAATATAAGCGCAGCGGGAGTTCATTGGTGGCAGCGGAAGGGGACGGCGAGACGTATTAGCTGGCAGGCAGGGCAAATAGTGGCGGATATTGGTAAGAACGGCGGAAGACGGAGTATTGGCTGCAAGAGACGGACAAGATCCCAAGGGTAGAGAGGCACAGAGCGACCCCAGGCGAAGAGGTTACAGTTCCCCGCCTGGGGCTCAGAGGAAACGGTTGGTTTGCGACGAAGCTCGAGGGATGAGCGGGCGGAGGCAAAGGGAAGGCAACGTGGGAGCGAGTGTACGTAAATTCCCAATGAGGAAAGTCCAAACGCCTCGCTTTCTTCGACCATCCTCCAGCAATTAATTCCCTTATATACAATGCTTCTGGCTCGCTGGCTGCAGTCTTTCGCCCACACGACAATGTTTCTCCGTAAACCTAACCCTCCTGGTACTCGTCCCACCTGCACCATGCCCTATTATCCTTGCCCTGGCGTTGACACTGAGCTTCACTTGGATTCGGCGGACAAACATTTCTACGTCGTGGAGCGCGGGTTTGTCGTTGGCGCGTACACCGACTCGTAAGTCTCTTGATCCCCCACGCGCCCGACTTTCGGCCGCCCGACGCACAGCGCTGATATCTTTGCCTAGGGACATTGCCACCAAACAAGTCAACGGGTATCGCAGCGGCTTCCGCATCAAGTTGGCTCGTTTCGAGGACGCGCAGGTGCAGTGGGCGGCGATGTGCGCCGCAGAC